GAGCAACCAAAATTTCCGAAATTTTAGTACCGCGAGATTGCCTAAAGGCACAAAATTTCGGAAATTTTAGTAGCGGGAAAAAGTTGCTCCCGGTACTAAAAATTCCCGAAATTTTAGTACCGCGAGAGAGGCACGCAAGAGGCGTTCAACAGGAAACGCGCCAAAGTACGAGGTTCCAGGGGCCAGGGGCGCGCACAAAAAAACGGAGGCGACCAACACGACACCGTTTTATTAGAGAATTTTGTACATTTAGAACTTCATTTCTTCTAAATATATAAAAATAGTATCATAATATATTAATATATCGCTATATTATTTTCCCTTTTTGATCGCAAATAATTTTCCAAATTAAAATCAATCAATATATATACAGAAATTTCAATATTTCTATATATATATATAACTATTTTCATAGATATAAACATTAAATTAATCATAATCTATTTTATATTTCTCGATTTCTTCTCCTATCTTTATTTCATATATTTATTATAACTTCATCTTTGTATATGAAAGAAAGGTTCAATTTTTTTGAATACGAAACATCTAATATGAAGACTACAAGCCATTGTACCATTAAAGCATGTATCAATAAACAGACTGACATTAAGTCATAGACAAGCAGAGAGACACAATCGCAGACAAATAGACAAACAGACGGACACAGACAGACAGACAAACAAACAGAGTTCGCCGCCTACACTACTCTCAGTGCTCTTGAAAGGCATGATCGGGTCTCGGGATCAAGAAAGCTTTCATCTTCGCTTGACTCGAGCTGTGGTTCTGGGGTTTTTGTTGTTGGGGCAACATGTTCAGAGTGCGGCTTTAGGTGGTTCGAGGAATTTGGGACGAGGGGGGCTTGAGGGATTGCGTGTTGAATGTTGCGCGGTACCAAGGAGGTCGACGCAGGCGTGTATCGGCTCAGGGGCAGCAGCTATTTCCCACCTTCTGCACTTTCTGCCTGGAACAAAATGCTTGAGCTATTTGTTTGAGGCTATAGGGTTTGAGGTTTACGGTTCAGTAAGGGTTTAAGTTGAACCTTGAGGGTTTGAGGTTTACTGCTTTGGCTGAGACAATGACGTCGTAGTTTCGCTTTAGGCTTAAAGCGGGGCTAAACCGCACGTAAGCATGAAACGAAGCACCTAGGGAAACAAAAGAGCAACCAAAGAGGGACCTGGCAAGCCGAGCCAAGCTGAGCTCGGCTGAAAGAGTGAAACTTCCCAATAAACACCTATCCAACAGCTGCCTTTATCTGCCCTTGTCTGGCTTCTTCAAGTCAGCCAAAGCTCGGCTCAGTTCTAATGGCTCAGCGACAATATGTGCAACTTCCGACCATAGTGAGCGCCCAGGTCGCGAAGCAAATACACCTCGCCGGTGTATTTATTCAGTATCATTCCACAAGCGAGGCACAATCAAGTTTGGCGGCTCGTGCACTTGGTCACTCAACCTACCATACAACAATGAACTGGACACTTTTGGAAACGACTCATTGAAGGAAGACCAGTGACATGTTTCTGTCGACAGCCAAAGCTTGCCACACCGCTGGATTGTTCGCCAAGTATTTGTTGATGCCGCTGCAGCCCTTGTATGTGCTGAGTGATGAGCACATTGCTCTCGCAAATGCCAAAAATCTTTAAACAAAGTCCCCAACCAAAACCTTGAACTCAATGACACCAGGGGATTCTTTGCATCATTCATCACACAAGGACACAGCTCATGATTCGTTTATCTTCACTTCGTTCTATTCGTTTCTCTCTTTGACTTTGTTCTAATTTAAATCTTTCATAGAAAGGAACGAAGTGGGAAGGAGCATGATTCAATTAAACTGAACAAAGCAAGGCAAAGAAACGAAACGATCTGAACGAAACCACGGCCTTTTTGCCTTTGTTCATTTACGCCGTGCTTTCACTTCAGTATACATTATGCTTAAATGACCGGAAGAAAAGGAAAAGGTGCCGTGTTTCTTCTTTCTTTCATCTCTTTACAAATGCAGGAATCACTCAATCATGAAGCTTGGTTCTGGTTTATTCGGACTCTCCTTCTCCTTGTCTTTCTCTGCAAGGGCCAGGGCCAAGGGCAACTCGTGTAACGTTCTCATCATAGCCGCTGGCCACGAGCAAATTTTGCGCCGTCGGCACAATCAGGTTTGAGGCTCTGCAGCTTGTAACTGTGTCCATGTTTCTTTATCTCAACGAAAGCATGGAACTCCACGAGCGCCACCATGGCACAGACACAGGCAAGCAACGACGCAGCATGTTCCGCAACCAACATCAACCAACTGTGCAATGACAGGGCGCTGTGGGCAAGAAATGCCTGCGGACCAGCACGATGTTGATGCGAACAAGCTCGTCTCAATTGAATGGGCAAAGTGCGCTTGGAAATGACACTTAAAACTCAGGCGCGGAATGTATCTGTTTGAGGGGGGAACTCACTCTTCAGTGTAGCAGGTGAAAGGAAAGGCCCAAGTCGGCAGGCTGAACGATCATTTTGCTCCGCATGCTTGCCACCTCTATCTTATGAAATCAATCGTTGTCACAACCTCAGACGGGTGTCGCACTACGACTGATCTGGACTTTGACAACGTAGACTCCAAGCTTCTGGCGGATCGAGGAACCTGCAAACGACAACCCCTCAAGAATGTCGCCCGCAGCTGCCACACCATGACCGGGCTGAAAAATGCATGAGTTGCACAAAGGTCTCTGACCCAGTTGCTCTGCAGCAGCTCCGGATATTCAGATCGAAGGAGGGTTGCCACCTACGATTTTTCTCAGACATTCACATATCAGTGCTGTCATACATCACGAAGAGCAAACCGCCTCCTTCACCAACTTGGTGTCCTGCCAGGTTTGCTCATGGGCGCAGCTTGCACGAGAAATCATGCAGGTAGGAGTCGCGATCTGTCTGGTTTCAAGCCATGCATCTTCGACGTCCGTCCAGTTGCCAACAAACCCTTGTTTCCGATGGATGTAGGGAGGAATTCGCCTCGGCCCTCGGTCGAAGTGGTCAGAATTTCCCTCTTTCCTGTCCTGAAGCCGCTTTCTCCTCCTCTTGTTCCCCCGCTCCCCAGTGAAATTGGCCGTGCCCCAGCCCTCTGCTGCCCGACTCATTCGTCTCTGAACCTGCCAAGTAGGCCTTGATTTGGAAACCAGTCTTCCACTTGCAACCGGGTTCATGTACGAGTTGTTTCCCGAAATGTGCGCAGGTACCCCTAGTCTCGACAAAGCCGCTGTTCACTTGCGGCCGGGCCGAGGTTCACGGAAAGCGTGGCCGATGGCCGCAAGCTGAGCCTCTGCCTCCCCTCAAAACTGCCAAAGCCTCGGTGGACCAACGCTGCCTGTCCCAGCTAAGCCGCTCCAGCCTCGGTGCTCAACTGCTCAAAGAAGCCCAGAAAGAGTCAGTCAGGGCCAGGTCAGGGCCAGGCAAGCGTGCGAGGCCGGCCTTCGCCTTTCACATTCAAAGCAGCGACGAGACGAACTGGCAAAGCCTCGGTTTCGGCCTCTGCTCGCTCGGACTCCGTCAGCACAGTGGAATCCTGAGCGGTACATTGGCTATGCACAGATGACCAGCAACCAGTAGAGTCGCAAGAAGGTCGGCAACAGCTTGGCTTGAGCTGAGTATAGCAGGAACGACTAACTCATGTAAGGCTGCCTGGAGAAGAACAACCTGAATATGTAGCGCAAACGCAGGTCGCTGTGGTGAAACCGCGCTGGACATTAATTCCATGCTTCTCGATTGATTGTCAACGACACAGACGCAGGCAAACCGATGGCTTTCACACAGTACCTTAACTTCTGCATCGAACTGGTGGAAGGATTGCGAGTGAAACGAGGTGAAAGCAATAGGTCAGCAACACTTGTGCTCGCTCCTATGGGCATTTCACAAGTTGGCACAAGTGCTCAATCGTTCCACTGCTCCTGATGCCCTTGAAAGAAACGAGTAGCTTGCTATTGGCAATGGGTCTGGCAACTTGCACTTGGTCCTTGCTGCTGCAGATGCGATGCACGATTATCGGCATCGCTAGATTCTAGATGGAGCTAGTGTACATAGCTATGCCACTCCCACATCTGCGTTAGCACTCAAATCAGCGGATTGTTGATTGTCGAGTATTGCGAAAACTAAGACCGTGGTGGGACAGGCGGACGGCAGTACTCATATATCACATGTCGCCATCCAGGTCCTCACATCACCAGCGCTACTCCAGGGCAGTGTCAGAGCATATGACGGTGGCATGCTGTCACTCCAATCCTCAGCGAGCACTGGTGCCATCTCTTGCGCCTTCTTCAAATTCTCATCCCGCGTCTGTAGTGTCTGCTCCACCAGGTGTAGGAGAGGCCTGTCAGGAACCCTTGTCTTCCATTTGTCTTCATACAAGCACAATTTCACGCGGCTGCTTCATGCAGGCCTGTTTAGCTGAATCTCTGCTTCACCTTAGCAGCTTCGCACCGAGCAGGCGGTCATACGTTCAAGAATGCACATAACACCTCGAAAACTCTTCAAGGACTTTGCTTTCCTTGCCTCAGTGCTTGCTGTCAAAAACTGTGCAGTCGAGGCGGCTCATCTCTGGAACAGACTGGCGCGCTTTGTACTCGATCTGTCGCTCTATGTCCTGCGAAACGCATGTTGGTGCATGTGCAAGTATGCATGGTATGCATGGTATGCGGTATACTTGCAGTATGCAAGTGGGTCGTTGCAGCTCGGCCTTGCGATGCTCGAGATTCCGTAGGCGACGATCGACCACTTTCTGCTTCTCGATGGCGTTGTACTCCTATGACAGCTGGTGCCCGACTACGTCGACGTGATACTCCCAAAACGGCCTCTGCATCTCGCTCCAGGATCTGTGCTTGAATCTGTTGGAGATACTTGTCCTGGCACGATGTGTTGCTTTTGAACCTTCGGAGCAACTGCACACCATCATTCATCAAACGGAAAGCTTCGACTGCTAACTGACCTGGCCTCGTTCTTTCGTGAGTCCTTTTCTTCCATCTGCTTGAGCAGATAGGCTTGGTTCTCAAATCGCATCCTCATTCCATTCGACAGGGTGCTGGCAGGCTGCCGGCTGCAACGGATGCCAAGAACCCCAAGCAATGACATGTCTTAGTTTCCAAGCACAGCACTGCTGCAAGCGATTTTGCTTTACGGACTCTGCTTCGAAGTAATGCCTGGCGGAAAACGTAGTCAAGCAATTGCAAGAAATCGCGGCCAAACCCAACAGAAAATGGCCTGTCTTGCTCTTCTGCCTGCAGGGCTGCTCGTTGCGCGTCATTGTCGCCGGCTCCCTTCTTCACTGTGTCCTTGTACGCTCGGCGAGGCGTAAGCCACACTTCTGTGCATCGCTAAACAAAGGAGCTTCTCGAATTCTGGGCCATTGGCTACATTCTCCAGCAACTTCTTCATCAATTCTGCCTGTCCTTAAGACTTTGGGGACTTGTACCGAAATCCCAACAGGTTTCAGGCCCTGTCTGTCCTCACACACACTGCGCATGGATGTTGGATCCGCCACATTTTTAGACTTCGCACGACATTCTAGGCGAATCATCAACTGGTTCAAGTCTTGGGGCGCTGCGCTCCATGCGTGCTGACAGCTCCTGTGCACGCTGTTCTTCTTGCTCATCCAGCAGCCGGTTGTATTCCTTGATTGTCTCAGCCTGACAAGCCGCTCAAGCGCAAAAGCTTTTTGCAGTGTGCCGGCTGCTGTGGCAGTGCCGAGGAAGAGTACCCGACAAACCCCTACAGTGTGTCGTGTCGTAGTCTTACGAAACCTTGTGACACCTGGCTCCCTGATTCCTACCGTAACCTTAGGTCAATCCCGGATTCTGTTCCGCAGCATACTTTCAAGAGCACTCCCGGTGGCCTCCTTCTCCATGGCTTCTTTTTTTGCTTTGTCTCTCTTCCGCTGATCCTGCAATACTACTGTGACTGGGCGCGCCGGAACGAGTGTCTATGAACAATCTACGACACAAACTTGCTCACTTGAGTAGCCTCCATGTTCTCCTCGAATACTTTTCGCATAGCCTTCTTAGTCTGCTCCTGAAGGAACTGCAGCTAGAACATTCCACAAAACTACAAATGCACCCGGCTGATAGCAGCGGTTTCGGCAAACCGATCCTTCTTCCGCTCATAGCCTGCAGGGCGCGGCACTCCATTCTTTGGCATGTGGCAGAATGCGAAAAGGGTTGATGCTGTCACTACAGGAACTGTAGAGCATGATGGGGCCAGCATGGGCCAGCTTCTCGTGCGGTCTGGTCACGCCGCTGCTCCGTTTCCATCTCGTTTACGATCTTCTCAACAAGGGACCTTGGAGACACCGATGCGCCATGGCACCCAATCCAGTCTTCAGCATATCTGCAGTGATGCTGCGCTTCTTCATCTTTCCTCTTTTGCGTCTCCTCGTCTTTGAGCTTGCGCCTTCAGCGGGTCACCATTGTGAAAAAGCAAGCAAAACGCAGCCACTAGTCACTAGCAACGCTAGTAGGATCGTGGCTCGTACTGCAGCTGCGCATCTCGGTCGGATTTCTCCTGCTGGCAACAGCACATCGTCGCCTGACTGGAACCTAGGCCAACTTCAGCTTGGCTGACGAGCCTTCATGACGCGCTCCTGCTTCTCGTCCTGTCACTGGCTGGGTCCATGTCCCGAGTTCTTGCATGCCGCCACACAAGTAGGTTGTTCTCCGATGAAACATTCACCCTGTCATGGTGTATCAGTGGATGCGGCTGCTCTGTTTGATTCGCCTTTGACATCTTTTTTGACGCATCATTGCTCGACTCTCGGTACGCAGCATTTCATGCGCCTGTCGAATTTGCTCTTGCTCTTTCCAGCGCTCGAGCTCCATGAGAGAATTCCTCACATTCAGGTCAAGTTCAATCTACATCGACTTATGCAGCCTCGCCACATAAGAGCTCTGCCAAGCTCTGCACTGTATGACTACAACGAGCGATGAGACTGGCATGCGTCTCGGCATTGTAAGGCATGCTATGAAAACAGCTATGGAATGTTTATTTCGTGTCGTGCGCATGCCAAGAGAACTTGCCACTATGACTCAAGCTATACATGCGAAGGACAGAAGGGTGCGGGTCCACACGCTGGCTCCGGAAACGTCTCAGATCCTGGCTCATGGTAACGGCGTTCCTCCTCAGTTGCATCCACCTTCCTCTTGGATTTCTCGGCCACCTTCAAAACAAGCGCACACAGTCATTCACACACTCTCCGACCCCAAGGCCTCATGTCACCCGGCCTGCTGATCAAGATCCATTCGCATTTTTCGTTGCAATGCTTTCACACCCAGCTGTTGGCGCAAGGCATCTTGTTCATGCAGGTATGACCTCGCAAAGACCATGATCAAGCGTCGGCTTCCGCTCAAGCTACACTGGGGTGGACTCGTGATGTCGCTAGGCAAGCTGCGCATATTCATCCAGTCGGGTCCAGTCATAGGACGACGGCAGCTCGGGCTTGCCTCCCACCATTTCCCTGGAGCCGCAAAAAAAGATGACATCATGAACTCATTCAACTCAGCACGCGTTCAATGCAGAGAAACATTCCGCTGGTATCAGCCGTTTCCGGCCTACCAGCCAGAGATGTCGCGCTGCGAGAACGTGACATGCCAGTGTAGGCAGACACTCCCGAGATCATCTTGGCAAGAAACAACCATCGTGACACACTTTCGCAAATTTCTGAAACTCTCTTGATCTCTCTTGGAACTGTTGCCGCCTGGAAGGCTCGGAACTGATTCAGTCTGTGAATCGGATCTAATTCGCTGCATAGCTTGACAAAAGGCCCGTACAGACTGGCTGTCGTCGGCGACGCGCTTTTGAGCTCGGCCATGCAAGCGCCTGAACACAACTTGAAGGCAACTAGCCGCTACTAGCAGGGCGGGAAAAACGACGCTCCTCTCCAGCCGCATAAGGTTGGCTTCTGTCACTGCTGCCGTCTTGGCAAAGCGATCCACCTGTGCTTCGTCCCGTGCATCATTTTACAATACGTGGCAGGATGGAACTCGTTTTTGCCGAAGATGCAAAACTTTAACTTCCAAGGCCCCGGACCTCGTTCCTGATTGCTGCCTGGGCTGGCTAGAAGCGGCGTCTTCGCTTCACTGCATTTCCGTGCTCAGGTCAGCCACCGAAGAAACCGACATCTCGTCCGCATCCTTCAGGACGGAGCCGCCCCCGAAGCGTGTCTGGCACATGAGAGTGTGTGTTTGCAAGCACAACACAAAGCAGAAGCATGTGCAAGCATCTACATGACCGCTCTTCGCGCTTGATTTGGTGCATCCGCCATGGGATTGCCTTGAACTTCTCGATGAGTGCATCTTTGAGCTCCTCACGTCGCTTCAGGTCCATGAGCTTCGCCTTGCCAAACTACAGTACCATGCAGTAATGGGATTCCCGCTCAGCAGCATGACAGTGATTTTGGCCCTGCACCGGGATGGAGCTTTTGAGGTGTCAGGTGGTCAGCACTGTTGTATAAGCTTCGCGGGTACAGAAATCTGTCCACAGCTCCTCCGCTTTGCGCAGGCCGTAAGTCCCACGGTGATCCCGGGCACACGGGCACGGCAAGGACACGGCAGAGGCACAAGGACACAACGGCACCAGTAATTAGCATGCAATGCAATTGCAATTTTCCGAGCTAAAATGGTTTCTTTATACACTTTAAGGCTTTGGGGCCACGGCCCGACGCGACTCCGAGATTCTCGAAGCATTGGACCTCATGGTCAGATCGGCTCAGGAAGCACCAGGGCCATTTTGTGGCTAAGCCAATGACTGGGCGGTTCCCAAGCGCTCTTCGCTGCATGCCATCCTAGCTGAGGAACTCCAGGTTGTGTTTGCTTCCAAGGTAAAAACTCTTGAGAGTGCCCTAAGCCACTGAGCGGCGAACCTGATGGACCAGGATGCAGTATCGAGGGAGCGAAACGCAGCTCCCACCAAAGACCCCCCCACTTGGGCAGCTTTGTTTATGCCAGGCCACGACATAACGCACAAGGCAAGGCAGGCCCAACTGTGGCGAATGCCATAGACCAACGCAAGAGTTCAAAATAGGATTGCATCAGAGGACAAGCTGCTCGCAAGATTGTGATTCTACAAAGGGTGTTACTGAGGCACCTACAAATGCCAATGTACAAAAATGAGCTCCCTTTGCAGCCTCTGCCACACCTTGCATGGTGGGGGTCGTTGGAAATCTTGGGCAGGGGAGGGGCTGGTCTTTGTGGATGCTGACCGGACATGGGTGCACATGGTCTGCGGGAACTGGGCTCCTTGCTTAGTCGGCGTTCCAAAACCTCAGTGCCGGGTGTCAATGTACCAGGACAAGGTCACAGCGACATTTCCATGGACATTGGCGAGAAAGCTCCAGGCACTCTGCTCTTTTCCACGCGGTGCCAGTAGCCAGCCACAACTCTGCATCCTAAAAGTGGAGCCAACGCGTCTGCCATGCAACGGCATGGTGCGCAGCACAAATAATTTTTGCGGCCGTCAAAGTCCTCACAAAGCTCTCTTTCCTGTTTTCTTGTTTGTACCCCAATCCACGGACTTCGACGGCCTCGAAACTGACCGGTCATGCATGCTGGATTGGCAGCGGCAACCTGGCCCGACTCACAACGGCACCCTGCAGGCCAACAGGACTGTCGAAAACAATGAAACTGGCGATTGTTCGGCGTGGGAATGCAAGAGGCTTGGTCATGGCATTGTAGTACTCGAGGCAAGTGATTGTAACAGTAAGGTGCAACGAAAGAAACGCCACGTCTGCAAATTTCTGTTCGGACGGTTCCATCAGCACACATGACGCGGGGAAATGGCTCCACGTGATTGCAAAGTGGCAGGTGGCGGATGCCTGACTCAAAATGCAAAGGCCAGCAGCCCGGCAATTTGTAAGGGGCCAGGGGCGCGTGTGCGGATATTGTTACTGGGCAAAAACATCCAGCAATCACCTTCGGTGACTGCATGGATCTGAAATAGCTTCGGCGCTTCCATCTTATGGAGCCTTCTCGATGCTTTTCTCCAAGGCAGCGAGGTCTGCTTTCACATGTTCCAGAACGTCCGCGGAAATCTTGGAGGGAGCCAAGTTCAACAAGCTCTCGAGCGCGGCCTTCTTGTGCACCTGAGGGGCATTATCTTTCGAGGCTCGAAATGCGGTCACGCATGTCCTCGTGAGATGCAGGAGCTTGCAGCCCAGCTTCGTGCGCCGGAGTCGGAGCCACAGATGGATTCTTGCCGGACAAAAAACACATACAAAACCAACCAAACCAGGCATTGTTGTCTAGATCTCCGCTTCGGTTATGCACCCCTGCTCTGGCCTTCTTTCGCTCGATGATTTCCAGCTTAGCAGCCAATGCTTCGGCTCGCCTTTGATGTTTGTACTACACGGATGCGACAATTGTAGCATTCTATGTCCTGGGTGCATGCTGTCGAGTGCATGCAAACCAGGAGGCTCTTGGTGAGAGAGCAGAGCCCACTTTTGCAAGGCGGTTGGCCCGTCTCTACTCAATGCCAATAGACCTCAATCGGTGCCACGCAGCACGGTGCATAAAATGCTCTGCCTAACCAGAGACCACCCCCGCCTTTCGACACATTGGTATGCTGCATCTTTAAGGTGACTTCAGCCAGATCCGGATTCAGCTTCTTCAAGAAGGACAAAACGCCTTCCGTGCCAGCGACGGGCTTCGTCTGCAGCATGCTTCAACGGCTCAAACAGCTTCAAGCGACTGCCTTTGTCGGTGACATGGCAGCCCGAAATGTCCAGGGTAAAGCTCTGAAGACATTCCGGCAGCTGTTGTGCCACTGTTGACAGGCTGCCATCGTCCAGACCTGTGAACCTCAAAGACTTTAATGAGGCCAGCTTCTTCATAATGATCTTACTCGAAGGCATGCTGGACTCAGACCGCCACTGCAGATCCAGCTTCAGGATCTCGAGGCTCTTTGGCAGGCTCTGCCTGGTATCCAAGTGCCCGCTTTCGAAAGGCAGTGGGTGCGGATCACACATGATCACAGTAACTTGTCAAGATGCATGCCCATGGTGAGCACGTTTTCACTGGAGAAGTCACATCCGGCTAGGCTCAACCGCAAGGACCTGCGCCACCAGTCTCCTGTCGAGAGGAAAGAAGGGAACGAGCGAAGGGTGCATGACATGCGACTGGAACTCGAGCCTTGAATACCTTTCGCCACATCACTAAGTACGCACCTTGCACACAAACACAGGGATGAACTGCTTGCTTGCCTGTAGAAATCCAGCGCGTTCTCAGAGCCTGGCATGTAGTCCTTGTCTCTGCTGGCTTGGACAAGGACATTCTGCCAAAGCAACAGCAGCAGGAAGCTCCGCAGCCGCCTTTGACCAGCTGTCGCTCTCTTCGATTCGCAAGGAGATGACATGCGCTGCCTTGTCATCTTTTGCAAACCATCGGTGTCCTCCTCTGGCTGTGCGATGTCAACGAATCCGCGCATCAGCCGCTGTCGGTCAACCTCGGATATTTTTAATGAATATAAGCCGGATTCATCTAACTGGACCATGCGGACCTGTTACCAGGCCAACTCCAACAAACTCTGAAGAGAATGCAACCTCGGCCCTCGGTACTGAATTAATTAATACCCGGCATGTGGCTTCGCTGCTCGTCTGAGTCTTGTTCAAGTTGAAGGCAAGGGCTTCCTTCCGTCGAGATGCCGCGACTTTCTGACCCTAGGCCCTAGGCTCGTTTCGCAGCTCCACGGCCGAATGCCTTCACCACCTCCAAAGGGAAGCTTGCTTCTCGGGAGTTTTTGGCACTGACCCCACTGCCGGGATAGTACCTTAAGATTTCGCATGAGGCAAGTCCGACAGAGTCTGGCATGTTGCAGAAGTGTTCTGGACTTGCAGCTTTGGAGCTTATTGGAGCATACTTCTGAGGTCGTCAGTCCACTTGTAATGATCTCCACGTCCTCTGCAGGACTTATCGGCGGCTTTTTTGAATTCATCAAAGCCTGGGTGAACTCCGAATCGGGAAACATCCTGATTCATGGCCGCAATATCCACAGCGAGAGTCGAGGAGTCCAAGCACAGTGCCTACACTCAGAGCAGTGCGACATACAATCCTTCAAGCCGTCCAGCATGCAGCTTAACCTAAGCAAAGCTCGAAGGTAAGAACTTGGGCTCTGACCCACTCATAAGAGCACCAGGTGCGCGAAAAATAAACATGTGACTGTTGCGACGCCCCCATAACCATGAGCACACGATAATTGCTTGCCTCAGGCACCGGCGACAGTGTTTCAATGTAGACGACAGCAGAAGATCCGATGACACGGCCATGACTCCAGATGCATGTTGCTTGCAATGCATGCTACTCGAAGAGCTGCATGGGCATCTGCTAAACCGGACGTTGCGTGTGGCACCAGATCCTGAACATTGCAGACAAAAGGCTCCGAGTTTGGGGCGGTTCGGGCACTGAATCCGACAGCCAATCGGGATTAATCAAACCTTGCTTTCTCTCTTCATCTTTTTGTCGGTGCGTGTGTGCGTGCGTGGAAGGTCCACCCACCTGCCCGCCTCACAACTACAGCAAGCATGAAGAGACTTTTTCCGGTAGACACTGCGTGCATAGATATAAGTTTATTCATCGTTTATTCATCACTTGGGTAGGGTCGGTGGTCATCATTTAATCATCATTTGTTTGTGGGTTTTTCATAGTGTCTGAAGCTGGGTTTCGGGTAGTCATCATGTATTTCTGGTTTGAGCCCACAGCCCGGTACAGATTGGCTCCGATATCTGCTCGAGCAACTGTACCTTTCGGTCCATGTTTCAATGTCCGCCCAAGTTCAACGACCATCAAAATTCATCAATTACAGTAGAAGTGCTAGACTCGGCCAGTTGAATCTCATTTCATTGCAATCAACTAAACCGGAGACTCGATCTGGCAAACAGGAGACGTTTCTCAGATCTTTGATCGCAGGAGTCGGATCTGCCCGCCCCTCTCATGCCACTGCCCACCCACTGCGTGCAGCTCCAGCTCCCGGCTCTGTGCCCAGAACGATGAAACAACCATGCTTCCTAACCGCGGCATGCTCAGAATCACAAAACAAACGATACACAAAAATGATGAAACAATCATGAACAAAAAATAACAGAAGATGCAAACCATGAGAAAACGATGAAACTATGATGACAGTCCAGCAAAGGGACATCTGCACTTTTGCTGGACTGTCATTGTTTTTTCATCATTTCCCATCATTTTTGCAATATTTATTGGTAAATGATCGAAACATCATGAACAAATGATGACAGTCCAGCAAAAAAGAAATCTGCACTTTTGCTGGACTGTCATCATTTTTTCATAATTTCCCATCATTTTTGCAATGTTTATTGGAAAATGATCAAAAAATGATGACAGTCCAGCAAAAGGAAATCTGCACTATTGCTGGACTGTCATCATATTATCATTATTTTTCATCTTGTTTTGCAATATTTATTGGAAAATGATCAAAAACTGATGACAGTCCAGCAAATGGAAATCTGCACTTGTGCTGGCTGTCATCATAATTTTAATCAATTTTGCAATATTTATGGGGAAATGATGAAAAACTGACCCCCAACGCAGGATTTCCCAGGCGCCCGGGACCTCTCCCCAACGATGCAAAACTGATGAAAAAATGACGCACCACCCCTCCACAGCCCGACCCGCAAACGACAACAAAACGAGGATCCGCTCCCTGGCTCAGAAGCCGATATGCAAACGACCAAAAAATTATACCGCCTCCGCCCCCCTCTCCCTCCCTCGGTTGCATCCCAAACCCTTTCCCTACAGAGGCTAGGCTAGACTCTAGCTTTGCCACCGGGCCACCAGTTGGTTGCTCACAGGCGCTTGTAGGACTTGCAAATCGTAATCCCCCAAAACTGTTTAAACCTATCTCTATCGATAATGCTTCTACTTCACAACTCATTTTATAATTCCACACTGGCATCCAATAAAGAGAAGTCGACGTCCACCGTACTGTACTAGACCCATGGGCCCAAGCTTGGATTCTGAAGCGTCTAGGATGACAGGTGTGCCAGGCTCCGTAGGCCAGGAGCAACGACTTCGAGACGAGTGTAAAGCACAAACAACGATGATAAATGAATGATGAATAAATGATGACCCCAAATGATACCAAAGCGATGAATAGATGGTGAAAAACGTATAGGCTGATTTCCAATCCGCACAGGCCAGACAATCTCTTAAAGCAGACACCTTTATGCGGGCTTTCTTGCGAAGTACCCGAGTCCAAAGCTGCTTTTCACCTGCTCGCATTGAAGAGCTCGGGGCGTTGAAGTCAGGTCGGATCTCTCGGACGTTGCGAACCGTTTCTTTACAGGTAGCGAACCCCATGCCGTCCACTCCCTCACTCATGTGGACTGCGGTGCCGGTCGTTCGGGCTCCAGCATTCTTCAGCGACATGTTCGATGCTCTCAATCCTGCCGTGGGCACGTACAAGGTGCTGGCTGGCGGCAGGCCGCGTGCGGATCATGCCCACCAAGTGCACGTGCACTCGTAGTCACTTGTGTGTGAATGCATGCTCCTGCGAGAAACTTCTCGGTTCAAGTAACAGTGGCGGAGAATTGAATGCTGACCCGGCTGTGAGCCAGACACTGAATGACTGGAGGAGCAGTTCGAGGAATGCCAGTGCGCTTTCACAAGCCGGAGATCGTGCAGATCATGACAAGCAAAGGATTCGGCGGAGGATGAGCTCGAGGTTTCCTCTCATGCCTCTGTCCCGACGGCAGGTTCTTGCAGGATGTGATGGGCGTTTTGGAAACGCTCGACGACCGCTGCCGGCGACCAAGCTGCTGGTGAAGGAGAATCCATCGACTCAGTCTTGGAACCTACGCTGCAGGTCTCTTGGCGCTCCTCCTCTTGGGAGCTCGGGTGAAAACGGCGAGGACGCATCTCAGCGCACTTATGCGGGTGGTGGAGCAGGCACGCCCAAAGCAGTTTTGAAATTGCACTTGCTTAGGTTATCCTGACGTTGTCGCGGATGCAGCGCTAGAATTGCTAGAATGCAACGCAAGCAGGTGCCAGCCTCCCTTCGGCAAGTGCTGTGTAGCTCTGCGAAACCCACTCCATTTGACCGCTTTAGAAAGCCCGAGTTCCTCTCAGCCCACGCTTTTGGCTCACGTGCGTGGCCTTGCTGGGAGGTCCATTCATGCCCCACCGGCACGTGACCAGCTGGTTGACAGGGGATCAAAGGGCACTTTCCACCGCCAACCCGTCCTTACTGCAGCTGATGTGGAAGAGGGAGTGGTGGAGAATATCCGGTAACACACTCCGATAGAGGCAGGATGCCAGATGCCGCTGACCTAGGCAAGGTTGCAACCAGTGGTCTGTGCATGCTCAGGGCCCGTCCGTCCGTCCGTCCGTCCATCGGCCAAGAGCAACAACTACACCTGGACCTGCCCTGGCTCTGTGGCGCTGCGATGCAACGTCGCTGGCGGTGGATTTCCCTGGCCGAGGGAAGAGACTCGGCGCCTCGCGGCTCGCCCTTTGCAGGGCGAGCCTTTGGTGAGGTGAAGTCATGTGTGCCTTCTGAAAGACTCCTCATGGTTGTGCTAGGCTGGTTTGAAGTTTGCAGTATTGGACTGGAGTCACAATTCCATTGAATATTTTCTGAAGTTTCAGGAATCACTAAGGAAGCCTGGCAAGTCCAAAGCACATACGCAACTAGAACCAAAAGAAGCAGCACGGCAATCAATGCCGGCGGGAGCGGTTCCTGGGTGTAGCCCCTGTACATTGGGGTTGCCGCGTTAGGTTACGCCTTCGGGGTACCCTTGTTACGCGCAGCAACCTGGCGGTTCTGTTCGGCAAGGCACTCAGTGGCTGCGGACTGGAGCTCGGCGCTGCGGATGCTGTCCTCGATGATGTGCTTGATCTCCTCGAGTCGAACGCAAGGACTCGGCGAGTGGCCACATCCGCATACAAGCGGGGAGGCCGGAAAGCACCCAAGTACGTGAAGCCGATGGGAACGCTTCCAACGTCATCGATGAGACGCAATGTGCGTAGGGGCTCCACTTTTCGCAGTGGGCACAGAAGACCAGCTTTCCGGGAGGAACACCTTGGTCCGTGGAGGATCGGGGAGGCAGGCGCAAGCGATGAAATCGAAGCGCTGCATGTCCTCATGGGATTTCCCCTCTTGCAACATTCGTCGTTGAAACTGATCATCCTCCACCCAGCGAGCTGACACCGATGCGTAGTTGTGCTTCGCCGCCCTGATGGTACGGTCCTTTCAGCGCTCGCACTCGGTACGGTCCTTTGCGTCGCTGATGACGATGACCTCGGCACTCATCTGACGGTTCCCTGATTGAGGTTGCGGAAGTCGGCAGTGATGAAGTCCAGCTGCTGCCGTAGCAAGCAGTCGGTTGCGGAGCTTCTTGTTCTCGAAGAACCGCTTTGTCGGCTTTGCCGACTCGTCGGTCTGTGGCGGCTTGCAGCGCAAGCAGAAGAGCATGCCACGGGCTACCACAGCCTGACAGGAGGCACATGGATAGGAGCGGGTAGAGCTCCTCGTCACCGGCATCTGTGGCGCGGTGTCGATGCCAATGTCAACAGCAGATGAAGGCTCACCCTCGCGGGTGCCTGTGTCATCGTCCATAGCAACATCCACCATGGGCGCTGCAGACGGCTCTGCCTTGATCGTCGCCGACTTTGGCATAGCCTCAGCCTTCACTGCTGTCGGCTTGCTGGAAGAACTTGCTGCCTCCTCATAGTCGCTTTGCTCGGAAGACGCGATGGGGCTCACCAGTGACGGTGGCTTCCGACAACTCGGCAACATGGAGAGGCATCCACAGCCGAAATGATGCAGTCCGCGGGGATGTGGTTCCGCGTCAAAGTCCCGTCCGATTGGTAACGAAGAATTCACATCCAGCTGCAGTGCCCTTCATATTGTCGATGGCGATCTCAATGGGCATGTTGGATCGCATGCCGCTTTTGTAAGCAGCATCATCAAGGCAGCAGTGGGCGCGTCCAGAGTTCTCTGCACCAGGCACGATTCCACTCGCCAAAATGCTCTTCAATCCCTGTTGCGACGTTCTGTGGTACAGCGTCTTTGGGGTGTCATCCCGGGAGGTAACAATAACACCCTTGTCGTTGGAACTCATGAGCGCCTCATGGCCGTCGAGGTTGCTGTAGAAGCTGGTGGCTATAGGAACAAATCCGTGTCTTCATCCTCGACAATATGATCGTTATGTCCTTGTGACACCCGCATCCGCACCGGGAACAAGGGCGGACCAATGGTCTCTTTCATCGGCACGTCGATGCCAAGCAGCCCAATGCTTCCTTTGTTGTCAGCCTTGGTTGCACGAAGTAGTTGCCTGATGCCCCAGCATCGCTGTCGGCAATAATTGAAGCGATCCAGAAGCTTGCCAACATCCGTCCAGCATCTCTTGTCAAATTTGAGACCATGCAACTCGACCTCATGTCCTCGAAGAAGCAATGACAGAAACTTGAGGTCGCCATGATTGAACTTGATCTCTGTGTCTCCAACAATGGCTTCAGGATCAAGAGGAAGCATGCGATGCTTCTGACCGCTGTAGAAGTACTCCCTTACCGGCGTGTCGCCCATCGTGGCTGCCCCTTGCAGGGCGCTTTGGTCGATAAACACCTCCCTTCGAAGGTCGTCTTCATCGCGATCAGTTTTGCGACTGGGCGCCGATTTTGCATTAGGAGTCGGCTCCGGTAGTGCGACCGATACTCGAAGGAATGGGGACCTGGGTGACCTGGTAGTCGCCCTCGTCAGCCAATGCCACGGTGTGCGGGGGCTCATAAGTCACCTTGCCGTCCACGTCCTGCGCAACGATGTCATTGATGTGCTGCGCGATGCTCTTGACACTGGTGCGTGGCCCATATGCCGGCACATCCTTGCGGATGGCTTTATCCTCCGGTGCATGGAGAAGTCGGGAGCTTCGTAAGGTCTTCATCCAGCCTTTGCCACGTCTGGCATCTCCCAGATGCGGTCCTCTTCAGTGACCTCCTCGTGCTTGGCTGAAAAAGGCTTGCTTTTCCGCATTCCATTCCTGCATCACCGTGGTGACGACTGGATTGCTGCCTCGTTCCGGCTCCACATGCTTCAAGCGCTTCAGCAGAGGTTGTACTGCGATAGCCATCTTCTCCGCCAGGAACTCGGCGCGACTCATGTTGAGCGTCGCATGGATGAATGTGGTGAACACTTGTCCGTTCTGCCCATGCTCCGACGCATGGAAGGAATCATAAAGCTCAGCTTTTCCATGCATGGTGTCGCCGTTTGCGTTTGCAATCACCGGTTTTCGAATTGCTTGAACGTCGCAACACGGAATGCAACTAGAAGCGCCCTTGCCAATGACCTTAACGAATCCGATCTCCGATTCGGGCTCACCCTTGCGGCTGCGGCTAAGGAATCGGCGGCGCGCCAGATTTTCTTGGCGACGTGCTCCATGGAAACCGTGGGGTCCCTGTACGTTGCACCAGGGCAGATGCGTGCGGGAATGCATCCCCATTGTCCAGAAATTTAACTCCCTGCCCACCGCACGACGATGTCTATGAGCATGTTTGGATAGAGTGCTTTGCACGTCTTTACGTGCTCTTCCACTTCCCTTGCGAGCCAGCTGAGCATCGTCCCCCAACACCTCGTGTACATAACGTGCTTCCAGCCAGGGCTGCCCGATGTTGTCGACCTTGTTCGACAGATCCCCTTTCGTCATCCTTCCAGTGCTGTCGCACTTGCGCAAGGCAGTCGAGCTGTCACTCACAAAGATAAGGACACGCTCTCTCTTGGGGCTCAACCCTGAGGTTGGCCTCAGGAGAGACAGTCCCTCATCTGAGAGGTTATAGCCAGCTAGATCAGGGAAGACACCTTAATGTCGGAGTTGGTAAGCGCAATTTGCGCGACGTATTGGGTTGTTACCCCGGAGTACGCCTCCTCCATCATCTTTTGCTCGGTGCCTACTTCGAAGGAGATGTAATCGGAGTTCAGCGCCGCAGAACCCAATAGCATTGAGCCCTCCTGGCCTTTTGTCTTTGCGAGTGTTGGCCTTCACATACTCGTTGTTCACCACAATGTCGGCCATTGCTTCAGCGCACTTCCGCCATTCTGCAGTCGGTTTCGAGCAGTAGAGAGCGGTCTCGGCAGGACCACGTTCACAGAAAACAGATGCCATTTGTACTAGGCATCAGCTTTCCTCTTAAGCGGTGTGTTGTGTGTCTGTGCACGCGAGCGATGTGCATTCAAACGACCGATTTTTCGGGCGAGAACACGGCTTGAAGCTTTTCCTACCCCCCGATGTGCATTCAAACGACCGATTTTTCGGGCGAGAACACGGCTTGAAGCTTTTACTACCCCCCTCATCGAGAGGGGCATAAACACACTGATTAACACATACCAATGCTTGCTGAGGAGGCGTCAACTGAGGTGCGGGCAAGCAACATTTCAGCTTTGTCAGCGATTCTTTCTTGTCTTTTTCCAGTTTGCCGACCCCCCCCTGGATGAATAGACGATCAAAGAGCGGCGTTCGCCTGAGTAGGGTTGTACAGCACGCTTGGTTTGCGGATGCAGCATGATAACTTTGCGATAATTAGAGCAATCATAGGCATGGTGACAAACAACGACTTGATGATCAACGTATTCTGCCGGTGGTCACGACTTGCTGGCGCCTTGTATCCGTAATGCCCCCCGTGTAATCACCAAAGGAGAAAGTGATGTTGTAAGCATCTTTTTAAATTGTTCTTATCGGTGTGGAGGCGGGCTTTACCATTGAAGTTAAGTAAAGACAAACGACGTCCAAGTAAACCCTTTTGGGGACGAATGTCTAAGGAAATCGAGCTTCCCAGATTGCAGTGCAGACCGTGCGAAGTCTTCGACAACTTTGACGCTGTCTGATATCGCAACAACTGTAACCGTGTCACATTTTCCTTCGGTTTGCACCCGGCGTGCGCACTCGATGTGTGTCCAATCAACTTCAATGCATGGACCCATAAGCCAACCCTGGGGAGCACCTTTTGTGCCGTGGGGACTTGAGCCCATGTCAGTTGCGTAAAGAACCTGTACATGGCAACAAAAGTACAGTAGGAGGCAGGGTAAAATCTACATGTAGGGCTGTTAGGGCTCAGGGGACTAGCGTAGCTGAAACAAACAAACTACTCCCACACAAGCACGGATCACACCCAGCTGCCCCAAAAGAACCTCAACCCACCACCTCCATCTTTTGGACCCGGCCTTGAGGCCACGCCTAACGGCCTGAGCATCGATATACTTGTCGAGGTTGGAAGAGGACCGCGCCTGTCGAAGGTTCAATGCCTCCTGTTTACGCGAAGCCCGGTAGGTGTTTCTGCATGACTTCGGGTTTGGGGTCTGCTGCAGACGAACATCAAACTCTGCACCCCCTGCCGAAACACAGGTTGTCCAAACGAGAATCTGGAGCACTGGCATGAGCACCGTTCGGGAACCCTGACACCCTGAACCGGCCCCAAACCGGCCAGTAAACATCCCATCAACCGCAAGCAGTCCTCTAAAACCTTGAAGGAATCGTTCAAACCGCCCCAACTGGCTGGCTAAAATGACCTTGGTGTCTCAAAACATCTGTGATACAAAGGCCCCTGGAACCACCCTAATCCCTACTGGCCCTGTACCAAACCGTGCGCCCCATGCTATCATTGAACCATCAGGACCCTATATGAACTGAAAGATAACCGGAACCGGAACCTACGCGCAGACACACATCATCGACGATAAGTGCATTTCTTACACTTCAACGTCCCAAACTATGGGGGCTCTGAAAATCAGGTTCCTCGTGTTGTGCCGCCTACCCCTTGTATCCGTTGCTTCTACACTCCGCAGTGAGGCCTCCATATCCTGCAGGCTCGACTCTTGGGCCTTGTCCTGGCGCACGGGTTTATAGGTTTCTCACGCTAGGGCTGCTACTGATCTAGGATCCAAGGCCCCAAACCGCCGTCCTACCTTCCTGTGGCCCCTGCACCCGTGTCCCCGTGGCCGTTGCAGCCTACAGCCTGTCGCCGACAATCCTGCATCCTGGGAAAGTTTACGTGCTCACTCTGAGCATTAGCAGCACTATAATTTACGAAGAGAATTAGCATGCTCCTAATACCTAAGACCACAATGCTGTGGCCACCAGCACCGCTCGTCCCTAATCCTCCTCCAAGTTTGTAGTGTACCGTAGTACTATTGGTCCGACTTAAAGCCAATACAATCTTCGTGGCCGGCTCGTAATTTCCGTTTCGTTTCAAGTATGCAGGACCCGAAACGGCACAATTTCCGCCGAATCATTCTTTATTTTCCCGGGGGTCAAGTACACAGCGGAAGCGAATAGCCATTTATGAATTAAACCACATCTCGGGTGGAATCATTACGGCGATTCCTGACCCTGTGTGCTGTTTTCAAATGTGCGTTTTAAGTTGACGGCTACAATCACATGACCGACAATGATCTTCTTCATTGTAACTTTTTGTAGGGTTCTATGATAAACAGCAAGGTAGGCTCTGGTCGGAGAAGGCCGGCCCTAACATCTGTCGCACCGCACCAAAGCCACCAAGCGCCTGGGCCTCCATGGTCTTCTTGGCCTGCGCCTGCGGGTTTCGGGCTCGAGGACCTTAAATTACCACGTCTTGGGGCCTAGATTCCGGCTAGATCCGAAATTGATTGAATGGCTGTCAGAGTCTCGCGGTGACTTCCAAAACTATACGCGGACTAGAAAAATGAGTGAACAAAGAAGACCAACAGTATTGTAGGTCCCGAGCTGCCTGTTTCATCAAGGTGTTAGAGACTGCAATCGCAACTTCCAAGGTTCGAAACGAGAAAACCGCCGCGGGTTCCACTCAAACATACTCACGCCGAATCCTGGGCCTTGCAACTGCTGCATCCTTGCAAGACCACCAGGCAATCAGCAATCATACACATTACTTCGTGCAGTAAATAATTTGCGGATCACATGAACACACTAGTGCATGAACATATGTACGCATGAAAGTGTGCATGTGTGTCGGTAAGACTGCATGCATGTATGTACTTACGTATATACGTACATCGGTGCGAGCGTACGTACGTACCTATGCACACATATGCGTATATGAACATATGTGTGGAGTTTATGTATTGCAACATGTACATGTATAACTACTTAATTAACCTTAATATCAGAAAAAAACACGCTGCCTAAAACTCATGAAGCACTGTATGGCTCGAAAATTGCAAAAGTTTCAAAATCCTGGCATCTATGGCTGGTGGGGGGATGGAAAATCTCCAAATTCTTGCGAGTTCGGGAATTGATTTTGAGCATTATAGCGGCCTGAATCTCACAAGCACTGTAATGCTAAAGACTTCTGACATTCCCAATCCTGAAACTCGCTAAACATTGTAATCTTCGAAAAATCCAAACTTCTTGCACCCCTCCCCTCCCTCTCCCCCCTAGCCATAGATTCCGGAATTTTGGAAATTTGGGACCTTTTGAAGCATTACATTGGCTCGTGAGTTGCTAGGATTGGAAACTTTGGAATTGTTGAGCATTACAGTGTTTCTTGCACCCCACGCCCCGTGCACCACCAAAGCGTGGATCTTGGGGAACGAGCATAAACATACTTATATGTGGGTTATATACATATACATATATATATATATGAGAGAGAGAGAGAGGCGCCTCTAGGGTCTGTTTGACGCCCTATTTTTTCCTTTATGATTAGAGAGAATATGAATAATTCAAACAATTGAAATCAGCAGGGCCGATTTCAATTATTTCATTTATCTGGCTCACCCCAATAATTGAAATAATTGAAATCGGTGGGATTGGTGGCTTAACGCCTGAACCCCACGATTTCAATTAATTGAAACAATTGAAATAATTAAATAATTGAAGCAGTTCAATCAATTGAAATCCTGGGGTTCGGCGGCTTCGGCCCACCGAACCACAGGATTTCAATTATTTCAATCGGTGGGGTTGGTGGCTTAGCCACCAATCCCACCGATTTCATACACACATATATATATTATAGATACACACGTATACACATCACACACATATATATATCATATATATACATACATACATATATATATACATATATATATATATGTATGTGCGTGTAGACATGAAAAGGAATCATTCCTTCGAAGCCTCCAGAGTCGATTGGAACTCCGCGATGTCCTGCAGCGAAGTTGCCAACTTCAGACGCGATGGGGATTAATCCGGCTAAGCCCTACAACATAACTTAAAACAACTCGAATCGCACGCGGTCTGATCGCGACTCTGAGCAACAGCGCTGGCAGCTACCAACACTAAGCTATTATGTAAAGATTTGCACGCCGTGCGACTTGAACTGGGAGTTACTGGGTGACGTGTAAGGGCCGGCATGTCTGGAACTTTGCGATTCTGTGTGAAGTGGACGTGGCCGTCGTCGTCGATGTGGTAGTCGTAGTATAGCAGTAGTAGTAGTAGTAGTAGTAGTTGTTGTTGTTGTTGCTGTTGTTGTTGTAGCAGTAGCAGTAGTAGTAGTAGTAGTCGTCGTCGTAGTAGTAGTCGTCGTCGTCGTCGTAGTAGTAGTAGTAGCAGCAGCAGCAGTGCTCAGGGTTGGCTTATCTTTAAGTTTGAGTTGCCCACAAACTCCAGAATCGCACAGAATGTGTGGCATATCTGACTTAGTCCTGTGAGTCCTCCCCCCCTTTGCTTCGCTCCACACCGAAAGGCAAGGAAGGACGTTCAATGCCTTCCCGCGGCTTGCCGGTACATATGCTATGCCAGAGAAGCGTCTTTATATCCCAATTTTAAACTAGACCCTAACCCTAAACCCTAAATCCTCAACCCTAAACCCTAAATCCTAAACCCCAAAGCGCGAAACCCTGAACCCTAAACCCTGAAGCCGAACTCCGAGACCCTGAACCAAACCCCTTACATGAAGACACCAGAGAACGAGCTAGGCGGTATTAGGACCCCAACCCTAAGTTTCGAATTACGTCCGCAGCCCTGAAGCCCAAACCTGAAAATTAGAACCCCAAGACCCCTGAAGTCGCAGCATCGTAAGACATGAAACTTTCAGGACCTATACCCTGCTTTGCTTTGGCAGC